GAGGGCGGGTATCGAGGGTTTGGAAAATACGCGTTATTGGACACTCGAACACATAAGGACGAACAGTCTTACAATTGTTGTTGTTGTTGTTGTTGTTGTTGTATGATGAAGTTGTTGTTGAACATTATTACTTCTAAAGAATAATTATTGTTGGGGCCCCTGGTGCACGGCCCCCTCGCCGCGCCTAGGCCGCAGCCACGTTTTCATCATTTTCGTGAGGAAGTCTCAGGCAAAACGGGTTGGTCCGGATCCGGTTGTTTTGTTACGGGCGGTTTTCCCTTGCAAAAAATAAGCTAAAGTGGACAGTTCTTGTTCTAACATAACCAAACTTCAAGAATCCCTTGCAAAAAAAAAAGTAAAGTGGACATTCGCGCGCGCAAGACGAAATCCTTCCAAAACCTTAGTGTTCGCAGCGAATTTAACATAAAAACATCAAAAAACCAATGGTTTTTCAACAAAAAATTGTCAAAATCTCATCCCGCGCGCTCTTGCGGATTCGTAGAAAACCCAACACTTTTTTAAAACATGTCTGTCAAACGGGCTTTTGCGAGCAACTTTTTCGAACTTCTGCGACAACGGTTGCGCACCTGCCAGGGCCATCATCCCTGTCAAATAATACCATGCGGGACACATTCGTTTTTTCTTCGCGCGCGCACGCCGAAATCTTCAAAAACCATTGGGTTTCTTAGGAATTTTAGCACCGCGCAACATAAAATCATACGAATCGCACCGTAGGTCCTCGAAAAACATCTGTACGAATTTTCAAATTTTCTACCCGCGCGCGCTGTCCGAATCCTAAAAAACCAATGGTTTTTCACGTTACCACCAAAAACCAGTACAGGTGTCCAGTGTTGGAACAGGGGGAAAAGTCGTATACTAAGCTAGCGTCCAGAAAATGTTACCACAACAAGTCACTGTACCCATGCGCCAGTGTAGTAGCCACGGTCGTCCGCGGGCCACGAAGTGAAGTGTCCGAACGTCATAGGGCGGGAAGCTGGGTGTGGGTGGTGGCGAAGAGTCGTTTGGAAATGTGGTAGAGCTTGAACCGGCCCCCCCACAAAGTGGGGGTATTGGCGGGCGTCGTATAAAAACCCTGGCACTGGTGAGAACGGAGTGTCCCCACGTGCTAGTAATTGTTGTTGTTGTTGTTGAACATTATTACTTCTAAAGAATAATTATTGTTGGGGCCCCTGGTGCATGGCCCCCCCGCCGCGCCTAGGCTCACCAAAAAAGAAGCCCGTTTCATCATTTTCGTGGCAAAGAAAGTACAGGAAGGGAAACGAATTCTCAGGCAAAACGGGGGAGTCCGGATCCGGTTGTGTTGTTACGATCGGTTTTCCCTTGCAAAAAATAGCTAAAGTGGACATTTCTTGTTCTAACATAACCAAACTTCAAGAATCCCTTGCAAAAAATAAGGTAAAGTGGACATTCGCGCGCGCAAGACGAAATCCTTCCAAAACCTTAGTTTTCGTAGCGATTTTAACATAAAAACATCAAAAAACCAATGGTTTTTTCAAACAAAAAATTGTCAAAATTTCATCCCGCGCGCTCTTGCGGATTCGTAGGAAACCCAACACTTTTTAATCATTTCTGTCAAACGGGCTTTTGCGAGCAACTTTTTCGAACTTCTGCAACAACGGTTGCGCACCTGCCAGGGCCATCATCCCTGTCAAATAATACCATGCGGGACACAGTCGTTTTTTCTTCGCGCGCGCACGCCGTCGTCGTCGGCCGCGGGGCCCTGAATAGTAGCCACGGTCGTCCGCATGCCACGAAGTGAAGTGTCCGAACGTCATAGGCGGGAAGCTGGGTGTGGGTGGTGGCGAAGAGTCGTTTGGAAATTTGGTAGAGCTTGAACCGGCCCCCCCACAAAGTGGGGGTATTGCCCGCCTCCTATGAAAACCCTGGCACTGGTGAGAACGGAGTGTCCCCACGTGCTAGTAATTGTTGTTGTTGTTGTTGTTGTTGTTGTTGTTGTTGTCGTTGTTGTTGTTGTTGTTTGATGTTGTATGATGTTGTATGTTGTTGTTGTTGTTGTTGCTGTTGTTGTGGTTGTTGTTGTTGTTGCTGTTTTTTTTGTGTTTGTTACTTCTTCGTCGCAGCATCAACATGGTCTTAGCTCGGGCGCGTGCCGTTTGCATCACGAGCCAAGCGAAAAGAGATCGCGAAGCAGACCCACAACCCCAATCGGAAGGGGGGGCGGCCGATGCTGCGCTACGCAGCGCAGTGCCACCCTTGCCGAAGCAGCGACCCCACAGCACTGTCCCCGCACCTCCCCGCGGTGGGACGCCGCCCTCTTTCTCCCCCCTTGTTCTAAAGGAGCGCGTTACACGACGCAAAGTACCTGCTTGCAACTGGCCTGGATCCGCGCGAGGGACTCAGGATTGCAAAAAAACCCAGGATTGCAAAGGATTGCAATCCTGGGTTTTTTGCAATCCTTCAGTTTTTTTTGCAATCCTGGGTTTTTTTGCAATCCTTCGTTTTTTTTTTGCAATCCTGGGTTTTTTTGCAATCCTTCGATCCATTCCACGAACATGTTTTCCCTGACGCTTGCACACGGGTTCTTTGCAGGTCGTGGAGCGCGCTCGGTGATCTTCTGCAGGCCAGCGCTCGTGCTGGGCCGGCCCCAGCGACGACAGGCCCTGCGCAGGCGTGCCCCCCCGAAGGCCCCCTTGGGGCCCCGAGGGCCCCTTGGGGCTCCGGGGGGGGGTACAGCACACACGAGACTGCGACGGATCGGCCGCGACAGGAGGCAAAAGCAGCGCCACGTGGCGGGTTCACAAGAGCAGCTCCGAAGCAGAACAACCTTGTCACCCTTTGCGGGGAGACTTTTACTTCCGCCGGCGGAGGCGGCCTCGTTTCACTTTTCCGCGGGCTTTCGCCACCCTCCCGCCGCCTTCGTCCGAGGAAGAGGAGGCAACTCCTTCGATCCTCGAAGGCGAGGCCATGTCTGGAATGCCTCACATAAGCATCTGGCCGCATCGGACCTTCAGGGAATCGAGCTCAAGATCAAATCGGATCGAACTGGCCGAAATTGGGACGAGCTGAGGAGCGATCATCAGCATCACTGCCAGCATCAGCATGAGTTTCATCATCAGAATCATCAGCATCATCAGCAGCATCATCATCAGCAGCAGCAGCATCATCAACATCATCAGCATCATCCTCAACAGCATCATCAACATCATCATCAGCATCATCATCCTTAGCATCATCATCGTCATCATCGTCATGGATGGGTGGAGAGCAGGTGTCAACATCTCGACGCCTCGTTGGCGAGGCCCCCTCTGGAGCGCGCCATACACCAATACTGGCAGGGCCGCGGGGACGGAGATCTCGATGCGGTGTCTGGCGCCGACCTGTTTGCTCACGAGCACTCCAGATTTCGTAATAAAGGGAGGGGGGTCTCATTTCGGGGGGGGTCTCTTCCAGGCTATCTTGGAGGGCCTGGGGGGTCTGGGGACGGTGTTTTGGAGGGTTCTCCCACGGGGGAGGTCTGAAATGGCTTGTCTTGGAGGGTCCAGACCCCCTCCCTTTTATTACGAAATCTGGAGTACGCGGCGCTTACTCTGGAATCGACACCACGACGGTGGTGTGTCCTTCTCTTGACGGCAACGATTGCCCTGCCTGCCCTTTGAAAGACGGAGAGGGCTTTTCCAGATGACGATGGGGAGGAGTGGTAAGGCGATGGAGCGAGATGAAGAGGAAGAGGGGGAAGGAGGGGAAGGGATGAGGACGAGGAGGGGGAGGAGGCGAGCCTACCGAGGGGGAGGATGGGGAGCAGGAGGAGGAGGAGGAAAAGTGGGAAGGGAGACGCGGGAGAAGGGGGGGAGGGGGTACGGGGATGAGGACGAGCGGGCGAGGGAGGACAAGATAAGGCAGCGCGCCAAGAGAAGCTTGGAGGATGAGTGCAGCAAGACTTGTCACGGACAATCGGATATTGCCATCGAATCCTGGGCCTCCTTCGCCTTGCTGCGGCGGCATAGGGGGCGGCGCCCGAGCGCCACCGCAGGCGGTCGAAAAGGGGGCCGGGGGCCGCGCGGCCCTCGGACGCTCTACAGTGGAGGGGGGGAGGCAATAGACAAGGGGGGGGGGCAAAAAGGTCTACCTGTCGTCGTGCACCTTCGTGGTGGCAGCGCTTAGGAGCGCCTGGGGAGCGCCTCTGGGAGCGCCTCTGGGAGCGCCTGGGAGCGCCTGGGAGCGCCTGGGAGCGCCTGGGAGCGCTTGAAAACGCCTGGGAGCGCCTGGGAGCGCCTGGGAGCGCCTGGGAGCGCCTGGGAGCGCCGGGGAGCGCTTGAAAGCGCCTGGGAGCGCCGGGGAGCGCCCCCCGCCGCCGGGGAGCGCCCCGGTGCCCCTGGGAGCACAGGGGGCCCGGGGGCCTCCCCAGTAAGACGAGGCCAAGACCAGCACAAAATCGGACCCGGATAATTCGGCGATCTCTGACATCCGGCGGATCCCTGGAGGATGCGCCGGGCGCCGCCGGCGTCCCAGGGCTCTCTGGAAAGCTCCGAGAACATTCCCGAACGCTCGGGAACGATTAATCCCAGTCCTAGCCCCGCCCAGCTTGGGGGCCTATTCCTGCAACCCTCGATTCTCTCTTGTTTACAGGACGGGCAACTATAGGGGGGGACTGGCATAGGGGGGGACACATCGATCCAGAATCGGCGACACATCGCCGATAGATCGGCGATAGGCCCCCGATAGCAAATCCCCACGCTCCTGAGCGGGGTGGGGCTCTCGGGCCTCCATCGACGATGAATGGGCGATTGGGTTTCGATGCCCCCCCTTACTCGCCATCGCTCGGACGTCCATTCCCCATGCGTTGTTCGATTTCGCGCGTGTATGTTTCGGAAGATGATCCAAGATTGTCCTTGATAGTCCTCGCTGGGAAAAATGCACACGTCCCAGCGATGCCAAGCCTATGCCGAGCACCCCTCTATCGTTGCCCCTGATCATCGCCCCCACACTGCGAAGCCCCCAGTCGTGGGCGGGGGGGGCGCCTCCGGGTACGCCACGAACTCGCCGGCGAACACCTCGAGGATAGGACGGCCGACCCACCTTCCCTTCTGCGGCGCTCGGGGTCGTGCCTCCTCTTTCCTCCTTTTCCATCCTCTTCCCTCCTACTCCTCTTCGCTCCTTCTACTCATTATCGCTGATGCCCCTCATCCTTCTCCTCCTCCTCCTCCTCCTCCTCCCCCTATCTCCCTTCCAACCCCACCTTCTCCTCCAACCATTTCTTCCTTTTCCTCCTCCCTCCCTCCACCTCCCTCCTTCTCCCTCCTCCTCTCTCTCCTTCCCTCGTCCGCCCTCCTCCTCCTCCTCCTCATCCTCCTCCTCCTCCTCCTCCTCCATCCTCCTCCTCCTCCTCCGCCTCCGCCTCCTCCTCCTCCTCCCCTCCTCCCTCCACTACCAACCACCACCCACCACCACCACCACCACCACAATGATCTTCATCACATCATCATCATATCATCATCATCAGTCAGCAGCAGCAGCAGCATCAGCATCAGCATATTAATAATAAGAATAATCATCATCATCATCATCATCATCATCATCGTCATCATCATCATCATCATCAGCATCATCATTAACATCATCATCGTCATCATCAACAACATCATCATCATCATCATTATAATAATCATCATAATCATCATCAGCATCATCACCATGATCATCCTCCTCCTCATCATCATCCTCATCCTCATTCTCATCTTCACCATCAGCCTAATCCTCATCCTCACCCTCATCCTCATCCTCATCCTCATCCTCATCCTCATCCTCATCCTCATCCTCATCCTCATCATCATCCTCAACCTCATCCTCATCCTCATCCTCATCCTCATCCTCATCCTCATCCTCATCCTCATCATCATTCATCATCATCTCCCGCCGCCTCGCACCTGCTCGCCCCTCGCCCCACCCCCCAACCCTCCGCCCCCGCGGGGGGGGTGGGGGGGCACATCCTCAGCCATCCTCCTCCCCCCTCCTCCCTCCTCCCTCCCTCCCTCCCTCCTCCTCCTCGCTCCTCCTCCTCCTCCTCCTCCTCCTCCTCCTCACCACCCCCACCACCACCACCACAACCACCACACCACCACCATCATCATCATCAGCATCATCATCATCATCATCATCATCATCATCATCTCAGCATCAATCACATCATCACATCAGCATCAGCAAGTATAATAAATAATATTCTCCCGCTCGCGCGCTAGCGAGCTGTCTCCGAGCGCGGCCGCGGCTCGCGCGCGCGGGGCGGCCCAAAATGGGCAGGCCCGTCCCGCGCGCTCGTGCCGGGGCGCCGCGCGTCAGGCGGGGGAGACCGCCTGCTCGCCGACGACGGCGAGGCAGCGCCCATCAGCCTTAGATTGGGAGAGGAGGGAGGGGGGCAGAGAAGCTGCGGAGACAGCAGGAGCTTGCTCACAGAGAATAGAAGAGGCATTCTCCCGCTCGCGCGCTAGCGAGCTGTCTCCGAGCGCGGCCGCGGCTCGCGCGCGCGGGGCGGCCCAAAATGGGCAGGCCCGTCCCGCGCGCTCGTGCCGGGGCGCCGCGCGTCAGGCGGGGGAGACCGCCTGCTCGCCGACGACGGCGAGGCAGCCATACCCGTGCTCAAGGACCTTGCGAAGTGACAAGGTTTCGGCGGGCGGCCGCAAGTAGGGCAGGCCAAGCGGCGGGGCCGACTTGGAGAAATGAAGCGACAAGGCGGTCGCTGGCGGTGGCGAAGAACAGGATCCGCGCCCGTGCGGGCTCGGGCAGCGCAGCAAGAACTGTGGAAGCGGCGGCGGCTTGCAGGTAGCGCTCAGCACTGGAAGCCTGACGCCAACGCCCCCGCCAGAAGACGCGAGGGACGTCTTCCGTAGCGATATAGAAGTCTGTTGCGCCAGAGCCCCGCAGACATGCGGGCGTCAGGTTGAGCCCCTGACCCGCTTTGGCAAGAGGGACGCCCAGGGCCGAAAGCAAATGATTCCACCGAGCACGGAAGCCGCTCGCACCGAAAGGGGCGAGAGGATCGGTGGAAGCCAACCGCCCAAACACTTGATTCAGAATCTTCACCGTGCCCCGATCGGAGCAGCGAGCATGCTGCGTCGGGCACGTTCTCCTGGTCTTTGGAACAAGAATCGAAAGAAAAGCATCCCCTTCAACTTCGAGGCGGTCGCAAGGAAGCGACAAGTCACAGCGGCGTGACGCCAGCAGCTCGCCAGGCCTGAGGAACATCGCAAAGCCCATGAGCAGCAAGGCCGCCATCACAGGCCAGTCCCAGGCGAAACAGAGACCGACCATAGCGCGCAGCAGAGCGCGAGGTAAGGGCGGGCGGAGCTTTGGCGGCTCCGCGAGCTTCCATTGTCTCGCTACGTCCCAAGCTTCTGTTAGAAAGGCCTTCCAATGCGGATGAGCGCTCTGGATTCCCAAGATGGCATGAACCAGAATATAATGAGGGAAACCTGCATCATGAAGCCACACGCCGAAGGTCGCGAGGAAGCGGGCGAGAAGTAGCCCGCTACGGTAAAGAGTGGCGGGCGGCACGCCAGTGTGTTCTGCTAACCACAGTTCGAACGCATCAATCGATCTCGAGCGACGATCGAGATACGCGGAGGCGAGGTGAGAATCGCGCACGAAGGGAGTGCGCGGAGGGCGAGCGGGCGCGGAAGGCGCAGCCCGACTAAGCCCTTGGCCTGCGGTCGGCGCCGCGGCTCCCAGAGAGATGCAGAGGCCGCAGACGCACCACAGGATGAGCGCAGGGCGGCCAGGGCTGGGAGAGCTGATCAGCGTGGCGGCCCTCCTGCTCCTGGACGCGTAGAAGGGCGGAACGAGGGTGTCCCGCCCGTCGGTCTCGAACCCCGACGCCTCCGCCAGCATCGCCCGCGCCGAGGTGAAGGATCCGCCCATGTTACGGTGAGCACGGCGAGCCCCTGCTTCGATGTCGGCGGGCAGAGCGCCCCCTCCCTCGAGGGTCGCCCAGTCAAAGGGCGGGCGCGGCTCGGCGCGCGCAGCTGCGGCCGATTCGGCGAGCTCGGAACGAGCTGCCGAGGACGTGAGGCCCGAATGATGTGGAACGGGCACCACCTCCGCGAACGCGTCGAGGATCTCGGACGGAGGGGAATGAGATCCCCACAGCGCTGCTGGGATGGCGCCGTGACCGTCCTGCACGTGGTACAGAAGGTCGAAAAGGCAGGCCAACTTGCCCGCGCGCCTCCTGTGCTCGATCTTGAGCCGAGCCCGATGCCACGGATGGCGCCCGCCCCCATGGCTTGGAGGTCAGCGCCCGCGGGGATAGCCTCGGGCTCGACGGCGGCCACGTAAGGATGCAACCACGCGGCTTCGTCGATCGGCTCGGCGCCGCCTGTCTGAAACAGGCGCTTATAGGCGTGCAAGGCCTGCAGGAGGCAGTGCAGGTCATCTCTGCCTTCGGGCTCGGCGGCCCCTGCGGGTGCGAAAGACCTCAGCCACGACGCCGCGCTCTGGAAGGCAGCTTGCCAGGCGGGTCCCCACCTCACCACTGTGACCTTCTCACCGCCGAGATTGAGACGCCACGCTAGGGCGGTGGCGGCCCCTGGAGGCAAGGGCTGCTCAACGGCCGCGGAGGCCGTGCGCCGCGCTGCGAAGGCTGCAGCCGCGGCGCTCCCAGCGTCGCCGCTGTGGGGGCCGCTGGGATGCAGCTCGTGCCCTGAATCTCGGCCAGGCGCGGGGCCGCTCGAAGACCCCCTTTCCTCGGCGGCACGCCCTCCGCCCTGCGGGGCCGCAACAGCATCGCTGGAGGAGCGCGTGCCTACCGAAGACGGAGGGGCCTGAGCAGCGGAGTCCGCGCGGGAGCTGCCTGCGTGGGCGTCGCCCGAGCTCGCATCATGGCGGGACGTGGCTGGCCGCTGCGCAGTAGCGGGGCTCGGGCGCCGCTTCGGAGCGACTCGAGGGGAGCGCACCTCGCGACGCCGAGGCGACGTCGCCTGACGCGAAGGCGCGCGAGAGGAGCCGCGCGCGACGGCCCGACTAAGCCCCTGGCCTGCGGTCGACGCGCGGGATCGCGACGCCGCACGCCCACCAGAGTGGTGAGGGGGCGGCGGCGGCGGCGGGGGCACGGGCCGCGGAGTCTCGGAGCCAAGACGCGTGCCGCGGCCCCGAGAGCGACTGCGAGCCGAGGCCCGAGCGGCGGGCGGAGAGGCCCCCGAGCGGCGAGGGAAAGCCGCCTGCAGGCGGCGGAGGACCTCGGGGTTCAGGCCCGCTACGACGCGCTCGAGGTCCATCGAGGAGTCTGCGAGGGCACTCAGCACGACGTCCTCGAGCTCCGTCGGAGAGTCCTCGTCGCACGCGGGCTCCGCTCTCGAGCGGCTACGAACGCTCGCGGGCGGGGACCCGTCAGGAGTGTGCGGGCCCTCCGATGCCTCCCCCGCAGGCGGCTCCGACGGCTCCTCGGGCGAGATCGGGCCGTCGACGGGAGGCGACGAGCAGCCCCCCGAGGGAGAGGTGCGGTCGGTCCCGTACGGGTTTGGAGACCGCGCACGGCTGCGGGCAGGGCTGCGGCTCCGCGGTGGGGAGCCCACTCCCGCGGCGGAGCTGGGGCGTGCCGCGCCTGCCCAGCGGCGCGCATTGGCAGTGCGACGCGCCCTGCGGCCAGGCGCCGTGGCGGCCCCCCCCTCAGGGGCGGGGAGCGCCGCCATCGAAGCCCGCCGCTGCCTGGCGGCGCGCCTGGTGCGCGCGGCGCCCGTGCGCGAGGCGGAGTGCGGCGCGTGACCACCGCGGTTGGGCTGGTCCTCGACCGCTTCATCCCGCGGGCCCAGGCGGGCGCGGACCGCGCGCCGCTCACGACGGCTGAAGCTGGACGCAGGGTCGTCGGCGGGCCTTGCCAAGGCGCGCGGGCCCTCAGCCTCCACCTCGGCCAAGGAGCGGCCAGTGGACGACGCGGGTGCGTCCCCAGCACGAGCGGCACGTTCTGCGATGGCGAGGCCCGTCGAGACCTCAGCGTTGTGCAGGACGGCGCGCAAGGTCTTGCGCCAATCCCGACCCAGCTGGACGGGAGCAGTGCGCGGCAAGCGCGCGGCCTCTCGACTGGCGGCCTC